TCAAATTCATTAGAGTCATTAAAAAGATAATTTTTAATATCAATAAATATTTTTTTTCTATATACTTAAATAAGTTTTATTAGAAAAATTAGTATTAATTAGAAATGTTGATTTAATGGCTCAAAGTTTAATTGCTCCAATTGCAAAACATTTGTTTGGAATGCAAATGACCTTCTTAGTGGTGATGCCACTATTAGAATGAATTTACAATAATTTTTATTTATTTATGGTGGATCTTATAATTAATCTTTATTATTGAAAATATTCTTGAATAAAAAATAATAAGGTAGAGTCTAAAATCTGCATCTATTTGTAGCAAAATTGAATCTAATATAAAGTGTGATACATTCATTTATATAAAATTAACGTCAAAAATTTAAATAAAATAAAATAAGAGTTAAAATAAAAGCTATTTTCAAGGCTTAGAATGCTTATTTTGCATTATTATTTGATTATAATTTTTTTAGGAAGTTGATAGAATAAATTGAGCAAAAATTTGGAAGAAGTTTTAAATAAATATCCAATAATAGTTTTCAAATCTTAAAAGCTATTTTGCATCATCTTCAATCTTTGGAATTTTTCAATCAATAATAATTAAATTTTTCTTAGAATCTATTTGCAAATTGTCATTTGAAATATTATAATCAAAAAATTTCTATTTGAATTGTATTAAAGATTCATTATTCTATCTTTGCATATAATCCTTCATCTTTAAGTTTTTATAGTACTAAATAAATATGATATTCATATATATTTTTATTTATAAAATAGATTTTTTTTTGGATATATAATACAAAATATTATGTAGGTATTTATGAAAAGAATCTTATTTATAAAAATACCAAAAAGTAGTTAGAAAATTTATAAGTCCAAAAGGCATGATATTAAATTCAAAAGAACCATATCTAATCCAAAAGGTTTATGTTTCCAATATTTTTTTTTTGATATGTACCAAATTATAAACTTTTTATATATCCTTTTTAGTATAGATCTTAGGTTTATTTAATTGATCCAAAAATTTACATATTGAATATAAATGAAAAATATTATCCATAATAAAGATTGGCACACTTATAAAAGTATTTGAATGTTGAAAAATTCCTTTGCAAGATTTCTATCATTGTATACCTACAAAGAATTTGGTTGCATAAATGCCTTAGTTTCTACAAATAAAAGTTAAGATAGTTTGTTGTTATTGGAACTTTATCTTAAAGTGATCTTTTGTTATTTTAAATCAATTGACATCTTTATTTTGTTAAACTTTTTTATATGAAAATTTATTTTTTGCTTTAAAACTTGTTAAGTATTATGCAAAAATCTTTTTTCTAAAACTTAATTTTCTACAATACATATACAAGTTTTTACAACAAGGTTTGTTTTTTTTTTTCTTGTGGTGTCAATTGCTTAAATTGAGTTGTATCAATTTGAATAAGATATGGCCATGATGAATAAGTTCATGAAAACTTGGGAATTATTGGTATAACTTGATTTATATCTATCTAATTAAATCTTTATTCTTGTTGCTTGTTAAAGATTCAATTATTACATCCAGTGGCTTATAGAATAATATCCTCTAGTAAATCTATTTCTTACATTATTAATAATTAATATAGATATTATCTTTTAATCAATATCAAAATTGATTAATATGGGAGTTATTATTTCAATCTATGTCACAACAAAGGTTTTAGAATTTGGAAGCCTAGATGGTAGTTGATTGTAATCCTTATTGTAAAGACTAGAATTATATTTTTGATACCCTTTTTAAATTGCTCTCTCCAAATATGGCCATAAATACTTCTAAAAATAAATCTAAATATTAATAGAATTATTAATTGTTTTCCATAAAAAATAAAAAACAAGTAAAAATACTTTCAAATAAAAAATAGCTTTAAATCAAAATTTAGTAAATTTGTTAAAATATTGAAAATAATACAATTTAAAATAGAACTTGATGTACTATAAAAATTGTTGAAATTTTAATCTTATTCCAATAAAATTATATATATATATATATATATATATATATATATATATATAAATTATATTTACTTGAAAAATTAATCTACTTGCTTCTTTCAACTATAGAACTTCTCAATATAGACATTGAACTTCATTGTTGACTTCTTCCATAGGAATAGAAATATCTTTTCATGGCTGATATTATTAATACATAAAATTCCTCCTTAAGAATATTTATAAGCTTGTGAAGATTTCTAATAGTTGCAAATTTGTTATTGCTTCAATTAAGTATAGCATCAATGATATTTTTATTTTATAAAAAATTAAAAAATCCAAAATTAAAATTAGAAAATAATAGTTTTCATTCTCTAATATTATATAAAAATTTCTATGAAAAAAATAATTTACTTTATTTAAGAAAAGAATCAAGATTAAAATTAAGAAATGTTAGTTTTAAAGGCAAGTAGTCCACAACTTTAAAACGTAACAATAAAAAATATGATAATCTACTCAATTTTAAAACCAAAATAAATATAATAATTAAGATTTTAATCAAATTATAAAAGATATATACTACAACAAAAATTTAAAAGTAACAATATATTTTTATATCACCAAAAGAGAGAAAATAATAACTAAAAGATAGATATAGAATTGAAACTAATATAGCTATTGATAAATTCAAAAATATTAAGCAGTCTTAAATCAAATAAAACATAAGAAAGGTATTGATAAGAATAAAGAATGCCTCACTCTTGCCTCAATATGTACTATCTACTAAAGAATTATTTAACAATATCATATAAGTTATTTGACATGTATGTAAATTTTGAGACATATATCTAACTTCTATGAAAAGTTTTTGATAAGAGTTTCACATAGCCAATATATAATATGAGTAGCTAAATATTTGACATGTGGCCAAATTGTTTGCTACGTTGTCAACTTATCAATCACTTATAAATGTGTATGAAGTTTGCAATCCTTTTTAGAAATTTATCAAAAAGATAAATAGAAGTAAGTAGAAATATGTTAAATTTTTCATATCTTTTTGTGAGAAACTAGATTTGTAAATTGTGAAGTATTCATCTTGAAAATATTCTTAAGCATCCAAAATATAACAAATGCTTACATTCACTAGTATATTTACTTCATAGTAAAACTAAATAATCACAACAATGATCAAATCATTGAGTGGTCTTTTGCCTTAGTATTGGATGTTATTGATAGATGAAAAAACCTATGTGCATAACAAAGGACAAAGTTTGTTGCTACCACCATTCATTGGATCTTAGACTTGATGAGCTTATAAAACAAGTTGACAATTTCTTGTAAAACTTGTTGTCTAAAAAGTAGAATACTAATAATTGTCTAAATAAGTTTTATTGTCTAAATAAGTTTTACAAGAAATATTAATCCTCATATTCTTTGCTCTATATTTTGCAAAAATATATAAGATTGAATGTAATATTATTTCCACATTTCAATATTATTTGTCATGTCATTATTTTTAAGCATTGTCTTAAATTTAATAAAGTTAACTTCATAGTCAATATTGTAAGTCACAATATTCACATATTCATTTAATTTAATAGTTTGATCTTAATTTTAATAAATCTAATTCATCATATTCATATTTTTGTTAATGAAGTCAAAATCCAATCTATTTTGATATTGTTTTTATTCCTAATCCTTTACTTCTTTGATTTGATTAGATTTCATATTATGCATCTTAAAACATTACATTTAGTTTTTTTAAATTATAACTTTAGTATTGAAGTTGGTTTTATATGTATGTACATCATTTATGAATATATATATATATATATGTATGTATGTATGTATGTATGTATGTACATATTTATAATAAAACAACATTGATATAACATAAAGAAACAAAAAAGGTTTTTGATTGATTAAATATAAAAACAATAAAACATGAAAATAAGAGAAGATAGGAGTGCAAGAGCATAGGTGGAGAAGAAAATAGATGGATGTGCCAAAGATTGCAGTGTCCAATGGCATAGATTTTTGCTAATATATATATCTACGAAAGTGATAAATCTGTCACATTCTTTAATGTTTTAGCATGCAATTGTTGAATAATAAGAATAAGTTTTTGCATTGTGTGAAATAAATAGTTAAATGTGGTATATAACACAAGCAATGGTTTCATTTTATTTATATATTTATTTATTACATAGTTTAATACTAGAGTGGAATTGACATGGGTTAATACACTCAATTCATATTTTTAACATATATTCTTTTCTATTTCCTTCATCCCCGTTTTAAAATGAGTGATGGATACTATGTTGAAGTGAATCTGTAGTCATTAATTCTGTATCAAACATATTCCTGATCTGTACTAAAGACTACTTCAAATCACAAGTTAAGATTGTCTAAGTTTAACAAAATTGAGCATTTAGACTCCAGGATGTGTTTGACATAGAAAATCAGATATATTCAACAACATATGCCACTTTTCCAGCAACAACTTCACATTAAAATTAGAAATTGAAAAAAATAAAATATAAACACATATTTCAGAAGACCAATCCATAGAAGAATTCGGAGAAGTTAGCTCTATTTTTGTTAAAAAGTATCGGAATAATTTCTAATTAAAAAATAACACAAAGTGAACTGTAAAATTAAAAAATTAAAAAATTAAAAATTAAATCATTATTAAATTCCTGATTGATTGATTGATTGATTGATTGATTGATTTAGGTCAATGGCCAGTGTCGTTCAAAGTGCTAAAATTCATGAGAACGGCCCATGTCGACGAAGGTCACGAAGAGTGTACTGCAAGGCAGAAAGGGAACGAGGTTCCCACGCAGGAATGCACGCGGGAACAACCCTAGAGAAAAGTAGAGCCATGGCGAAGGCTAGGGGAGGGGAAGGGAGGCTACGGCTATGGCGGTGGCTATGGCTATGACGAGGAGGCAAAGCAAGGCGAGGCGTGGATGCTCCCACTGCTCGGGCCTGCCAACAGACGCGCCCACTCTCTGCCCTCCATCCGCGTCCTCTCACTTGTCGCCGCGACTCTTCGCAACTTCGCGTCCATTCTGCCTCTCTCTCTTCTGCTGTAGAGCTCTTGGAGACCGCTCATCCGTTCGTCTTGTCGAGGAGCTTTGCGTTCGCATTTGTGGGTTTGGTGTGTTCAGGCCGTCATGGTGAGTTTGAGTTCGTGTTTGCACTCGAGTTTTGGTGGATTTACTTTGGTGGGTTTTTTCAGTTTGAGCTGGAAATAAAGTAGGTTATCACTGGGTTTTTTTTTGGGAAATTCTACGTGGGTTGAATATATGGCTGGATTAAGGGGTAAGTCGGTGGCAGTGGTTTCGTAGCGTAATCGTGATTGCACTCGAGTTTTGGTGGATTTACTTTGGTGGGTTTTTTCAGTTTGAGCTGGAAATAAAGTAAGACATCACTGGGTTTTTTTTGGGGAAATTCTACGTGGTTTGAATATATGGCTGGATTAAGGGGTGAGTCGGTGGCAGTGGTTTCGTAGCGTAATCGTGAGTTCTGCCGCATTTGGATTGTAGAGGTTGTTCAAGTTATGTGCTTCTTTGCCTTGCGTTTATTATTTTTTTGTTCGTTTATTGTTGTGGCAGACCCTTATGTTTTTTTAATTTTATTTTTACTTGTCTGGTTTTTTGGATTTTCAACTGGGTTTTTGCGCTTCCCTCTTGATTTCGAGACCATTACTTGTTTTGCATTTGAATGGTCTTCTACTTACCGAAGAGTAGCTGTGTGGCAGTGCTGTAAAGATTACTTCTTACAGCAGGTTGATGTGGTCGTGATGGATGTGTTTGGTTTAATTTCAGTTACTGTTCATTTTAACCTATTTCAAAGTTTGTCCGCGTCTTTTTTCATCTTCTTTTCATGTCGTCTCATCTCCTGCTGTCTCGTTTGCACTAGAGTTAGAAAGCTGAAAATTGGATGTGTTACGCTCAGGGTGACGCTCCTCCACGCCACAAAAGCAGGTATTCAAGCTCGCCTTCTCCAAGGGAGAGAGAAAAGCCTGAGCCCTCACGGTCACGCACTCCTCCACGGCGGTTAGTTCCCAAGCCCCGGTAACATCTTAATTTGATCTTAATTCTGATTTTCAGTGAAGTTTTGCAAAATTGTTGATTTTAGTTCTCTAGATGCTATTCTTTGTCCAGATTGATGTATTGTTGTTTTCTGATCTCAACAGAGGAAGGTCTGGGCCGATTAACGATGGGCCAGATCGCTCAAGATCACGAACACCTCCACGTCGGTGAGTTAACTGTTTTTTCTCTTTTTGATCGCCTCAGTCTTGAATGCTTGTGCTATGAATTGTGTTCGTTAAGAATTACCTACCCAGAAGTACCTAAATTATTGAAGCTATTTGGTCTTGGTTTACTTACGTCTGCCGCTGATCTTTTTGCAGAAGCCGAAGAGAGCCAGATATAAATAACCCAGGAAATAACCTGTACGTTACTGGTTTATCTACACGAGTGAACGAAAAGGATCTCCAGGAGCATTTCTCCCGGGAGGGAAAGGTGCGTTGCTGAAGTCGAGTAAGATTGTCTATGTTCGTGTGATTTTCTCACACACGGGGTTATCTGGTGCTGTATATAGGTGGCACTTGAAAACTTTTAAACCTATGTGCTTGGCAGGTGTTGGAATGCCGTTTGGTGCTTGATCCCCGCACGCGCGAGTCGCGTGGTTTCGGATTCGTTACAATGGAGCATCTCGAAGATGCGGAGCGATGCATAAAGTATCTGAATCGTTCCACCCTTGAAGGACGAATGATCACTGTGGAGAAGGTGAGAATCGGGAGGGAAATTGACCTTAGATCTGAACACATTAACCACTCTTATTTGCGTCTTAAATGGTACTGGTGCATTTTCTTTTGAACCAGACATGCTGATGGTATTTTTCTTTTTGACCTTTTGGTCATCCAGAATCACGGCCCCACTCTGCTCCCGCAATTACCCTTCCATTTAGTCTCTTCTACAGCAGCGCTAAAGATAGCAAGTACCAACCCACTGTTGGATCCATGTGATCGATTGGTTCTTTGCAGCTGATTCAAAGTTCAGTTCTTGAGCTCCTGCCGAGTAAGGCCCTAGAGTACTACCTTCTCTTCTTCAGCTGCTGTTGGAGCTGAACTAGAGGTCAGCACTTAATTGCCCAATTGGTTGGCACAACTCGACCGGCAGTATTCAATTTTCGGTAGTCTAAACCAATTCACTTGAAGGGATGGCACAACGAAGATACGGGATCTAATCAAATCTCGATAGTCTTAACCTATTCACTGGAGTATTCGACCCCTACCCGCCTTTCAACTAAGGGTGAGCACTATGTGTCCATCACGGCTGGGGAGATGCTATCAAAAGCCGGCAGGCATGCTCACTGGACTGTTTTGCAACCAACTCCGTCGGCTTTATCAAACATTTTAATTTCGTCCACCCGGGCCTCTCCCAACCTCTTCCAACGCTAATGTCCAATTATGACCTGCACCACCTTTAAGTCTCCGACTTGTAATGAATGTGGGAGCAGTGTGAACAAGAGGTCAGCTTTGCAGAGCCGGATATTGGTTTCTAGCAGTTGTCCTTTTGGCATGCAGGCCCCTTGTCTGTCTTTCGTGTTTCGTTTGGTGCTTTTGAAACGGCTGTAAGTTCCATGATTGAACCCCTAGTTAGAGCATGGTTTGGCAGATTCTTGTTTTTCGGGCTGAGTTGTTCAAGTTCTAGTTATGACCTTTTCAGGTGAAAGTTCTTATCCGCGCTGACTCCTCCCTCAACCTCGCTTGACGTTTCTTATTGATTAGTCGATTTGTTTTTGACGAAATTCGAGGTTGAGACCACGTAGAAAAATCACACTTTTGCTGAGTATCTGTCTTCTCATGGATGTGCAGGCTAAACGTAAACGAGCACGCACTCCTACTCCTGGAGAGTATCTTGGTGTTAGAGGTATTTTGATTCTAGTAACTTTTGGAAGTGCATGCCATCTCTATCTCGTTTTATTCTTGTAACATCTTTGCAAGTCTGTGGAAGCTTGTTCTTGTGAACAGATCATTCACATTTGGGTGTTATTAATGTTAAATCAACAGCTATGCAAGCAAATCGGCGGGGAGGTGGAGGTAGAAATGGTGGAGGCTACCCTCGTGATAACAGGAACATGCGGCACTCGCCCGAGTACGCACCATATCAAGGTGGTGGCCGTGATAGAGGCCGAGAGAGATCGCCTCGGCATTCTCCATATCGTAGTCACGCCCGGGACCGTTCCGCATCGCCTCAGTATGGTTCATACCGCCGCTGATCGACAATGTTGGTCAGTCTCACGACAATCTTTTCCCTTGTAAGGTTTATTGTTGTTGGTCATGGCAATTAGCGAATCTCTTGTTGAATTTGATGATTCTGGTTTTGTAATGTCCACTTCACTCATTCTTTCACTTTCTTTGCAGGCGCCGATGTTGGCCAGTTTTTGAGACAAGTCGCTGTTCCTCGTCTATGAGACATTTAACGATAGGAAGCTCAGTAACTAGCGTTTTATTTTACCTTGCTCTATATTTTGTATGTATTTTGAGTATGCGTGCACCGGTAAATGATCTTTTAATCTGTTTCTATTTGGTTGAATTAGCAAGTGCTTGCAACTACATCAAAACACTTCATTTGTAGTCCCTTTACTCGTTCTGAACAGGATTTATCATAGTATGGTATTCTTAAGCATGGTTATCACTTCATGTTTGTATTAATAGCAATAACATTGTAAAAATTCCCGTAACTCCATAATCGGATTGCAAAAATGGATGTTTCTCCAAACAAAATTAGATCGAACATTCAATCATAGAATAACAAGATTCTGCTTTTTGAAGAGCTCCTGATGCGTAATATATGATCAATGTCATAATTATGGTGTTATTAGTTTGGAGCAAGCTGAAACGAACTGTCAAACAATATTAACTACATTCACAATAGTTGGTCGACTACATAAAGCGTCATTCATCCTGTAAGTACTAAAACGAGGTGAAGAATTATTACGATAAATGGAGTCTGAAAATTAAAGTTGTCGTCCACTATTGCTACTGGTCCGGTTTACTATCTGGGAACACAAGGTCCAACCAAAGCTTAGAGCTGATCCAATTTGCCGTCAGCACGGATTGGCTACTAAATACTGTAATTACAATTCTTCAGCATCACATTTCTTTGTCTCGGCTGTCAATTGTTACTCATGAACTAAGCTACAAATTTCGATTACTTATCTGAACCATTCAGAGATTTGAACTCAAGATCTCCTTCTCAATGTTTTATCTTTACTATTACTGTGGTATTAAATGGCCTTCAAGTGTAAGGATTCTGCAGCCACAACAGCTTTTCTTGACTATAGTGTAACCCATCTACTTTTTGGATGTAATGCCGAAAACCTAATTGTCTTGTTCAAGTTTTATTTATCTGTCTGTTGATATATTTCTTTGACTTGGTTAATTTTATCCTTGAGAAGCTTTAAGTATGTTAAGCAGTTTTTAGTTTAGAGGATTGATCAATTGTTACAATGATAGAATTTTTTTCTTTCAATTAGAGTGTTCAGAATTACAATCTAAATTATGCTATTGAAAAGTTCATTATTGAAGAAGTGAATTTTAAGAAACTGTTATTCAATCTTACTGTTTGTGCAAGTAGTTTGAGAACCCACCATTTTGTCTCTAATTTTTGAGCTCAAGCAAGCAATGGACAAGATGTTTAACTTACCTGTCATGCACATATTGGTTGAATAAGCTAGAATGCAAATATTATATATTATATCTTAAAATATCCAAGTGAATTCAAATTACTTTTCACTAACACATGGACCTACAGGCCTCTCCAAAGATTTTTCATGGTTGCAACTATTGTATTCTAGAACTTTTTCAAATAATTTTGAGTATTAATTCAACTTCTCTGATTGCTAATTGAATCAAAAAAAAAAATCAAAGTTGTTTTTGAAATTTTTTCAACACTTAATGTTGAATTGCACTAATCTCATGATTTTGGTCATTACTGATTGGAAATGTGTGTTTCAGTATCTTTTACTTCTTGACACACAGATTTTAACAACCAAATTCATGTTATGTTGTGTATAGAAAACATTTTACTTCTAAACTAAAACTCAGATCTTTTAGAATTTTACAAGACTACTAGTAATTTCAAATTCTTCAAGAATATGTGTTCAAAAAGTTTTATATCCTAAAATAGATTTTACCTATTTAATTTATTCATATCAATTTTGACTTGTAAATTAATTTTATTATTATACATGTAAACATATTTAAATTTATGTTTATACAACTTAAAGGCAAACACTTGATGATCCTTGAAGTACCAAAGGATGGCAAAGTTGCACCCATTGTGTCCACACTCTTCTAATGTAGTACATTATCCTACATAATTGTCTTTTTAATATGGTATTGCTAATGTCACCATAATTTTTGCAATTGCCATGAGAACCTCCATCTACCATATGCCACCTTTATTCAATATCTTTCAAATCAATCAACTTTTCTTTGTTCAATGCCTTTCAAACCATTTAATTACTTTTTTAAAAAAAATTGGAATAATAATAATAATAATAATAACTAAAGAAATTTCTTAAGTGGGTGGCAGGTTGTGGTAGCAAAAGAAATACCTTTCTAGTATAAGATATTTAAGTTAATCTAGAATGATAAGAAGTCATTATTGAACTTTAAATGCAAGGTTGTCCCTCCTTTGTAGCTCCAACATACTCAACAATTTATAATAGTATTTCATAATTATAAGGAAACTTAATGTATATATAATAGAACATATCTGTAATTTGTTATGATTTATCTTAAATTTTGTTAAATATTATTGCTAGTGCTGATTTCATTAGATACAAACATCTTTGAAATTCAAAAGAAATTTTGAAAGGAATTTTTTTAATAATAATAATGAAAATAAAATCTGGGCGATTTTTTTTTTTTTTTTTTTTTTTTTTTTTTTGTATAGTCTTTATTTTGTAAAACGTAATTTGCAAGTCCTCAAACAACCAACTGAATATTACCGCATAGAACTTAAATTGGAACAGTATTTATGTACTAATAGAACATTTAATGTTTAGTGCTTTCAATGAAAGTCCCCTATTACGATCTATTGCATTTAATAATCTATTAATTTATTTTAATATTTTTTCTAAATTATTATTCTATACTAAATAAATGAATATATATATATATATATATATATATATATATATATCGAAAAAATCTAAAAATCCATTAATTGATATGTATATATATATATATATCTATATCTATATATCTTATAGGGTCCCTTAATATATTCCATTTTTTTTTATTATTCATTCTAAATTATAAAAATATCAGAATATTTATACACAAATAATGTATTAATACCACAAAAAATAGTATTTCTGAAAATTCAATAGAATCGTAAATGTTAAAAAATTTATGATTTTGTCTTCACACATTAGTGTGAAAATCCCTCATTGAGGAAATACAAAAAACCCCTCTAGCTCCTCAGATTTTTATTAAAATTTATTATTTTTATAAGTATAAATATAAGTTCTAACCACGTTTCATTTCTTTTTGAAGAATCTTTTAAGAAAACAAATCTTTCAACAGTTTGTGATTTTATAATCAGTCATATCCTCATAATCAACAAATTGCCTATGATTTATTTATCTTTTTACCTTCTTAATGAACTTTTGATAATTCCAAGTAAACTTTTGATAATTCTATATTTGTAGAAATCAACCTGTTTTGTCATTACCAAGCCAATTTCTTGTCCACAAAGGCATAGGTAGAAAATCATTAAACATTTTGTTGAGATTTTAAAAAATCTATTAAAAAAATAAAGACCTAATCGAAGCTCTTAATCTACTATGATTTTAATTTATATTTTCATAAATTGATTAAAAAAATACAGTGTTACAAAGACTTGATTTAAATTAGTTCCACCAATTCACAAAATAGATTGGTATAAACAAAAGGAATTCAAAAATAAATTTATTCTTGATTGTTTAGTATTTATATTTGTTCTTTAATAATTTATCACTGAACCATATTTATTCTTTATTTTTTAACAATCTAATTTCCATTAATGTAGTCTTTGAATGTTAGCTGAACCACTTTATCATTTACTTGTGATCTTTTGAATTTTGATTACCCTAAGCAAATAGAATCCTAAGATAATATCTTTTAGTTGTAATTGGATTAAAAAAAATTAAAAAGTTCATGTAAACATCTATTATTTAAAAATAATAAAAGTAATTAAATATTAATTTTAAATTATATATATATATATATATATATATACACACATACAAAAACGTTAAAATGATCCACCCAGTTACAAAATTGGTCCATTCTTTTGTAGAGAACAAAGGGGATCAAGATGAGAGCTAAGAACAAAGAAAGGGGAATTGGGGATTGGGATGAAGAAGGCCCAAAAATAAGGAAGTGTGGGTTGGAAACAAGGGGGTTGAGATGAGAGCCATAATTGTGATGATGGTTTCTAGAGATGATCTATTTTTTTAATGATCGTTATAATAAGGTGGGTCAATTTAGTAAATAGATGGATCATTTTAACATTTATTTATATATATATATATATATATATATATAATAAAATTCTATTATTAGTAAAATAATTTTTTACTTTTCTTTTTTTAGAAATTACACAAAATATTTCAACTACCTTACAACCAATATCAAATATTATCATCTATTTTTTAAAAAATTATGTTGAATAATTTTTAAAAATAGATGATAATATTTACTTTGTAAAATAGATATCTATTTTTTGAATAATTTCATACATTGATATTTCTATGTGATAATCTCTTAAAAATAATTAATGACATCTTCTATACACAACATACAAAGCTTTTAAATTCCTAGATCCAAATAAATATGATCAATATAGTATTTTATAATTAAAAAATCAAATTAATAATTGAATTTCATCTTTTATAAAAAATTAACATCTAAAAACTCAATATAATGATTCTTCTTCTAAAACTTAAATTTTTCGAATGATTTATACTTTGAATTCATTTTTTTAGAAATTATAATTATATACTTATAATAGCATTTTAAAGATTTTGTTTTGCTTAATTACTTCATTAATTTATGAAAAAAAATTAATGTAAAAATTATGCAAATAAAACAAGATAATTTTGTGCTTGTTTAGTATATATTAAAACTTTAATTATTATTTTTATAATTTTAAGATGTGCAAACATTGATCTAGATACATCTAAACGGCAAAAATAGTGATCTTATTCTGATAGACTTTAAAGATTTTGAAGTAGACTATATATTTATATTTCATATATTTCTAATACATCATTATGTATGTATATATATATATATATATATATATATGCTTTATCCCATATTATATATTTTTATCTCCTTATTGTTAAAAGAATAATTTAATTTAATATCAAAAGGATAAAACATTAATTTTTATGAACCATTTTAAGATTAAATCTTGTATTTAAGTTAGTTTAGCATTTATCTATTTACAGAATTATTAAAAATATTTACTTTGTAAACATGTTAAAATTTTCAAATGTTCTAAGTGTGCATTGAGATTTTTTTAATATTTTAATAAATATATTAAATTTACTAGTAATTTTTTAATATATTATCAAAAAATAGAAGTTAAATTGTGATAAAAATAAAAATAATTCAATTATTAAATACCTAGATTTTTACACCTTGAGAAGTATAGAATATTTCTTCTATGCTTCCATATAGGAGC